TCTTCTGTCAGTCTCTTCGCAGACTGACGTTCTCACTCTTTTCCTCGCAGGCTATTCCTCTCACAATCCCCTCTGGGATTATAGATCTTCTCCATCCCCTCACGGGGTTTCTACAGTGGCTAATCAAGTCTTTCCTCACTCATACTGTACATGGTGGCACGCCCTTCTAACATTGCCCCGACTAGTAGCGTCTCACACTCGCTATTGTCATGCTTCAGCCAGGCTCTCTCACAGTGGAACCTCCACATTTGTTATCTCACCACTGCAGCCAAAGCAAGGCCGAGGTCCTGGTGAATCTTTCCTGCTTTAAACCACTTCTACAACTGCCGTTCATTCACTTAATCACCTCAGGTGTAGTTTCCACCACAATGCATCTTCCTTAATCCGGGGCTCCGCCCCTCACACCAGACACTCCCTGCATTGTACTACAGGTGGAATAAGTTAAAGGCACTTCAGTACTGAGGAGCAGTACAGTAACTCTATGTCAGAGCACTGAACAGGCAGGGAATAATCCTTAACTAGTGTGCTCATGTGAAGAATTCTGATGTGCCTGATTGATAATGGTGATTGGGAGATGCATCCTGAGCAAGTTTGCACGAGGTTGGAAGAAGGCTGAGACCCCTTGTGAATGCACTGGTTGCTAGGGGCAACATCAGCCACTCCCAAAGCCACGCCCACACTGGGCATAACAGTGCAAGATAAGAGATTTTAGATCAAGAGATTTGATCAAACTTTTTGAGGAAGGGTTGCCAGGAAGAGTAGCAATTCCTTATTTACAAATTGTGATTTTTTTCCAATATGAAGCACTATAAAACATCCATGATACAATGTAAGGAGGATGGGTTAGAGGATAGTTTTCTAACTTTCAACTAGCACGTATGAGATATTTGGTTAGGAGAATTGTAAAAGGCAATATGTCAAAGAGCAGTTTTAAAATAAGAACACTAACATTTCAAATAATCTGATTAGTGGTAATTCATACTCAAAAGGGAATTTAAATATATAAGAAACAATCCACACCCACTTTCAGCTCATTAGCTGATGAATGGATAGCCTGATATTATCCTCCAGAACTTCTTGAAACATTTCTTATTTTAAGGTCGATGATAGCAAGCTGTCACAAATTCTGAGTTGGTAATGCAGTCCTACAGCATGATAAAATCCAGAAATGTACTGTACACGTTTGGGTAAGAACAAACATATGCAGGAGGGTGCCTAGAGTTTGCTTACACAAATTAGTACATTAGGCCTCTGAAACACCTTGCTAGAAAGTTTCTAAATAGTGTAACTTGTATGTTGTATGTTTATATTGTGTGTATTGTCATTGTTAATATGTATTTGTTTTACCCAGTGTGCCTAAATTATTACTATTTTCACCAAAGCTGTGCCAGAAAACAGCAACATAAAGTTGGAGGCTGATTATTTCATTTATGCATTGATTTAATCTGCACAGCCATTTCCTGATATTTCTATGATCTAAAAATATATATGATATTTTTGTGACTCTCTATTTCTAACAAAATATATATATAATAAATTATATATACTGTAATTACATTTTTATACATTAATTTATATATTGTTAAAGCTACAAGGGATTAGGAAGTGTCTCTAAGAGTTTAAATAAATGTATGTTTACCTTGGTTTATCTAATTAAGTTGTGGGTAAATGACTGTCAGTGAGCAGTACAGAAACACGCCATATAAGATCACATTAAGACCACAGGAGAAGAAGAGAAGAAGAAAGGAGAGAAGGTCAGAGCAAAAGAGAGCAGTCAGGAGCAGTCAAAGCTCATTTTGAATATTGTGCCAGGCGAGAGCCCCTATTTCATGATCATCTAGACAAACACTGGAGCTATGTATTTGAACCTTGTTAGAGTTTTTTAGGGAATGTGGGTTTCTTGAGTAAAAGATACCTTGGTTAAAGATGGCCTTTCCTTCTTGCGGATGCATTTATAGAATAGGCTCCCATTTATTTTGTGGCATCTGAAAGAGAGATCTAACTGCAGGTTGTATTGGAGGCAGCTTATCTCTTATTTTGTTCTCTGTAGGGTTTATTTAAGAATTGAATACTTGGTAGAAGTCTGTTTTCTTGGGATGATTAGAACATCAGGACTCTGGGAGACCTTATTGAAAATATACTAATCTGTGTTGTATGTTAATGTTTATGTTGTACGTAGTTCTTTATTGTTTGCACACGCCTTAGTAATTGGTATAAGTAATAGGTTTATTCAATGCTAAATAGAGAAGAAAGATAACAACATTTTGGCTGTGGAGCCTTCTTCGGGTGTGAGAAAGACAGGGCAGACAGCAAACATTAAATAGCATAGTAGAACAAAAGATGGAAGAATGGAGGACACGGGAGCAGGGGAGAGGCAGAGTGGCCACTCAGGTGGTGCAAAATGGAGAGAGGTAAGGAGAGTAGTGAAGTAGAAACAAGTTTAAAGAGTTGTCACTCTTTAAACTTTAGATTTCAATTAAAAAGAAAAACAGACTATCAACATTATATCCTCAATTGTAAAAAATCATAGTGATGATATATGCTTCCTTTTTAGGATTAATTAATTTGTTTATTTTATTATTTAACTAATGACTGTCACATTTATTTAGGAAATCACTAACACAAATTACTATCACTGCAAAATCAAATAACCAATAACCATCAAAGCCCAATGCAATAATGCATCCTACTATGTCTAGTCACAAAGGAAGCTGACTTAGAAAGAAGTGGATGGTTTTCTCTCTCTTCTCCTCTTGTAAAAATGATAATTGCACCAGCACACATTGCAGCTCACAGATTCTTTTCAAACACACAGGTACATTCTGGGGTCATGCAAGATAAAGTAGTATACCGAATATTTTGTGTGGATACTCAAATTGGCACAAGGTAAATTTGCATATAGCAAAGGATTACTATATAAATTTATTATATAGGATTATAATACATTATAGCATTAGAACAAAAATACATTTTGTTCAAAGCCTTTAGATAAAGGACAATCCGCATAGAAGTTCAAATGACGCTAATTTTAGATGCATCCCAGACTGACCCCTCACCTTTCAGTCATAATAATGCATGTCAATTTTAGACAAGTATTGATTTTTTTAATAGAATAATATTCCACGTGGAATAATGTTTTTACTTTTCTGACCAAATACTTTTGAAAGGCATTATAGGACTTCCATAGCTGGTAGACCTATTTAATGTTGAATAATATTGGAAAAATAAAGATATTACCAAAAAATAATTATTTTCTTTAAAAAAGATATTATTAGTTACAAATATTTAAATTCAGCAACACAAAATGACAATGACAATATAAGCTGGAAACATTTTGTATGAAACAATTGCTTATTAAGAATATGATTGTGACATATAATTTAGTTAATTAAAATTACTCATATTGAGCAGTTACATCAAATGGATTGGTTGAATCACCATTTTCTTTATTTAATACCTTCCTCGGATCGTCAAGATAATGTGTGAACATTTGCTGTGCCTTGCAGTGTCAGTTTGTAATTTTGCTGGTGATGTCTGAACTAACCTCTGCTTATGAGCCATAAAAATGTTTTCTAATAGACTGCATAAGATGTTGTCATTGATTACTTTTTATTTAATTTTTCAGATTAATGTTTGATGGTTGCAGATTCCTGTATGTATGTGTTTATAAAAGTGTTCTTCAAAACATTTAGAATGTAATAAGAACACAAAGCATATTGTTATATAGCATATTGTTATATCTGTTTTGTTTTGTTATTTTAATTTTCTACAGGTATATAAAGAACGCGGCCAGTCAAGAAATGCATAGTCATTTTTTGACAGAACACCTTCCAACTGTATTCATGAATTAGTTGTCTGTTGTCAAATAAATGTCTACCCCTTGTAATAGCGAACCTAAATTAATTCAAGTGTTTCACCTTCAAAATCACATATCAAGTTAAATGGCCTCTACCTATGCTACACTGTAGTGATTCACATGATTTCAGTGTAGATTAATCAGTTCAGGAATTGCATAGTAATCCAGTAGTAGATGACCTGAGAATTGCATTTCAAAGCAAAGACTTAAGCATCAAGGAACTTTCAAAAGAGATCCAGCCCAAAACTGTGGAAAGACACAGAACTGGGGATGGGTATACAAACACCAAAGGCCTTGAATATGTCCCTGGAGCACAGTCAAAACAATTAGTAAGTGGGAGGAGGACATCAGGCTGTTCCTTCAAACTGAATGACCAAGCAAGGAAACTTATCTGAGTGGCTATCAAGAGGCCAAGGGTATCTTAGCCCTTATTTTTATTTATTTATATTTATTTATTTATTTATTTATTTATAAATTAAATGAACAGTTTGTGTCATAACGTGAAGGTTGCAGTCCATCAATGTTCCCATGGAACCATACAGAGCTGGAGCAGTTTTCATTTAATCTGCAAGCAGTAACGTTGATAGAGACCTATCCCCTCAGACTCACAGGTGCAATAGCTGTGTAAAGACTTATAGAATATAGATATTTCAGTTATGTATTTTTAATATATACTTTTTTCCCCTTAAATCTGAGTATGGGGAGTAGATAAGGAAAATAATGTAAATGCTTGAAACTGTGAGGTACTGATACAACAACAAGTGAAACATGTTCAAGGGTGTGTAGAACATAGACACTGTACTGGCCACATTATACCTGATGCTTCCCAATTTGTATAGGTACTATAACTGTGTCAGTATGCGTAGGATGCAAAGTAGTAAGTAAAGGTTGCCTCACCTGAAGAATGCTCCACAGACAAAACATTGTGTTTCTTTTCTTCTCTTTTCAGCATGGGATAAACTTTTACTTGCTTCCCATTTTATGATTGGCTGTCACTTTTAGATCTTCTTTCAAAACAAAAATGAAAATGTTACCTAGGAAAATGTTAAACATGGTCTACAAGTGGCTGAATCTGCAATTGCTTGTATTTTTGTGCCAAAATAAAACTTGTTGACCAGACTATTCTTTTTTCCCTTTCCTCTAGGTGAATATACAGTCATGACAGCACATTTTCACTTGAAAAGGAAGATTGGCTATTTTGTTATTCAGACTTACTTACCATGCATCATGACAGTCATTCTGTCTCAAGTGTCATTTTGGTTGAACAGAGAGTCTGTGCCTGCAAGGACAGTTTTTGGTAAGTCAATATTTACAGAATATTCAGATAAATATCTACATTTAATCTGAAATGAGAAAAGCAACTACATTTGACTGTGCTGGTTATGTAGGGATGGAAGGAGTCACATTGCAGTCCAGTGAAGGTTTGAGATGAGTTTAATTGTAACGAAAGTGGCCACTTCTGGAGAACACTACAGGAGACACACATGAGGTGTATTTCCCACAGTGCCCTGAATTGCAACAGTTTTACAGAGGTTTATATAGTTTGAGTCCAGCCATGTTATTACCATGAATGGGGGTTTAAGAGTCCACATTCTACTTATGGTCCAGTGGCTTTTCTTGAAGATGTTGTCCTGCCTTTCAGCTATTTCTCTGGTGTCACATACAACAGTTGATGTATGTTCCCAAATTCACTAAAGCCAGGTCAGGAGACCCAGATATCTACAGATGATTCTACAGATGTAATTTTAGAATTACAAATACATGAAAATGTGTAAATCACCTGTAGACACTAATCATTCTCATGTATTACAGTAGGATTCTGTTAGTTCCTAGTGCAATAGTTCCCAGACTTCATGCTAAGTGATTACTATATCAGTTGTTTTTTTATTACAGCTGTAGACGAGGGAGGTTTTAATTTGCTGTAACAATCAGAAATTGTAACAATAAAATGCATACTTGATAACTATTAAGAATCAATCAAGCATAACAATTTTCAGTCTTACATACAGATTCTAAATATACAACATGAAGTTTACTAATTTAACCAAAACATGTATAAAAACACATATAATAGAATATATAGGTGAAATGATATGCTGTGAACACAGGATGCTGATCATTCACTCAAGGATTACAATGGTCAGAGTTAATAACTTGAGTTAAAGTAAGCATTTACTATAACATGCTATAATCTAGATCGACGGTTCCATCAACCTAATATAACTAAATCACAATTATATTCTCAGACACAAGTAAATATGCACGTACTAAGCCATGTGTTTGTAATCATAGTTCGGGTGTCAAGAATTATGTTAATAATGAAGTTTTACTCAGCAAATCTATCATCCAAATGTCCCTGATGAGTTTAAGCTCTATGCTGGTAAAAAGAAGAAGGGCAGATTTGTCCATAGCAGCTTCTCTGTGTGGGGTGGGTCCCTGGTACAGACAGAATAGAGAGAGAAAGAGTTTTTTCCTTCCAAAGAAGAAGAGAAATTAGAAGCCAGTGGTTCTCCTGCAAAAATGTGATGGGTTACAGTTTATATGGGGTGACTGTTAGTGATTGGCTGAGATGCCCACAGGTATACGTGATACACACCCTGCTGATCACTTATTTGTGGATTTACCTTTGGGTTATTGACCATGGCCTGTGATTTAAGATCAGGTCCAGATGTGCCTATGTCCCTCTGCAAGATATCCAGGTGCCAGCAGTACAGTTTAGATCGTCCATGTCGTGGGGAAGACCATCATTCAAAAGACAAAATTCCCTTACTTTCTTACATGCAAGGACCACTATGTCATTGCACTAGATCAGAAAGAGGTAGGCTCTTTAGCTACATTTCTTTGCTTTCACATAGGCAGCACCAGGCTGCTTGGTCAAAGCACACAAAGTTTATTATCTTTATTATTATAATATTATTATTATCAAATCTTTAATAACACTTAATTCTAAGTTAAATAATAGGCCTTGTCTACTTTCTTGTTTAGAATTTTGGTTTATTTATTTTTGTAGTATCATTTCAAGCAAATTATAACAACTTCAGCATACAGAACCTGAAGAAGTCTTCCCTCACATTTTTCTGACTAAAATGCTATTAATAGGTGACCATTTTATGATGAACAGACATATGTGGTATCAAACATTCATACCATGAAATGCAGGGGCCCAGTTGGTTTCAGTTCACACAACACACGAAAAAATGTGTCATTTCTGAAACTGACAGGACTGATTCCAAATATAAATAATAATAATAATAAAAAACTTTATTTTATAAAGCGCCTCACAAAGCGCTTTACAGGATGACAAGAACAATAAATAAAAAGAATACACAAGATAAAACACAATTACAATATATAGAGGAGACCGTGGATGGTGGTACTAAGAAGAGCAGAGGGGTGAAGAATGGGACCAGTTAAGTTTGAGTCTGGATTTGAAGGAGAAGGTGACTCTCTGATATCCTTGGGGAGAGAGTTCCAGAGCTTGGGGGCATAACAGGAGAAAGCCCTGTCGCCCATACAATGTAGACGGGCTTGGGGGACAATAAGGAGAGCAGAATTAGAAGAGCGAAGGTTGCGAGGTGGGGAGTAGGGCAATAATAGTTCAGACAGGTACTGAGGTGCCAAGCCATGCAGAGCCTTATAGGTGAGCATGAGGATTTTAAAGTCTACACGGAATTTGACAGGAAGCCAGTGCAAGGACTCCAGGATAGGAGTAATGTGAACACTTGCACTAGACCTGGTCAGGATTCTGGCTAATGAATTTTGGACATACTGCAGTTTGTTCAAAGTAGATTTAGATACTCCAGCAAGTAGAGCATTACAGTAGTCAATTTGAGAGAATACAAATCTGTTGATCAGCTTTTCAGCCACAGTTAATTATAGGGCGTAGTCTAGCGATATTTCTAAGGTGAAAAACAGATGTTTTGACAGTATGCTGCACATGTAGGTCAAATGTTAAGCCCATTCGATAAGAATCGAATATAACCCCAAGGTTTTTCAATTTTGATTGAAGCTCAAGTACAGACCCATCTACAGATATGGTTACAGGACTGCCTTTACGAAGTTGATGGGGGGTGCCAATAAGCATGACTTCAGTCTTGTTGCAGTTAAGATGAAGGAAGTTTTGAGTCATCCAAATTTTTATGTCAGAGATGCAATTAGACAGAATAGAGACAGCCACATCAGTGTCAGGTTTGGTATGGATGTGTTTTTTGAATATCGTCAGCGTAAAAATGAAAGCTGAGGCCATGTGATCTTAAAAGCTGACCAAGTGGGAACATGTAAATGCTGAAGAGCAAGGGGCCAAGTATTGAGCCCTGAGGAACACCAGACTTAACAAGACCAATTTCAGACCTGTACCCATTAAGAGAGACAAAGTGACAGCGATCAGTGAGGTAAGATTTGAACCATTTGAGGGCAGTGTCAGAAATTCCAAACACAGTCTCAAGACGAGAAAGTAAGATGTTATGGTCAACAGTGTCAAAAGCAGCACTGTGATCAAGAAAGATGAGTATAGAAAGAGAACCAGAATCAGAAGCTATTAGAAGATCGTTGGTGACTTTGACCAAGGCAGTTTCTGTGCTGTGAAGTTGACGGAAGCCAGATTGGAGGGATTCGAAAAAATTGTTTGTCATGAGGTGGTTATGTAACTGAAGTGTGACAGCACGTTCTAGAATTTTAGCAAGAAAGGGTAAATTATAGATGGGGCAAAAATTGTTAAGATTGTCGAGAGCCATGTTAGGCTTTTTTGGCACGGGGGTAATGGCAGCAGTTTTGAGGACCGTTGGTACAATGCCAGTGCTCATGGATTCATGTATAATATTGAGGACAATAGGACAGAGAGAAGAGAAACAGGACTGAAATAAAGTGGTGGAAATGGGATCTAAAATAGATGTGGTGGGTTTCATGTGTGTAACTAGTTTACTGAGGGATGCTGAGTCAAGAAGAGAGAAGCTGGAGAGAAGAGAAGTTGGATGAGGAGGGAGGATTATGATGAGGCAAAATTATGATGAGGCAGGTAATGTGGTGGGGCAGTTTGGCTTGAGCAGTCTGTTGATGGTGGAGAAAAGATGTCTGGGGTTGTTTTTGTGATTTTCAATGATGTGATCTATGGTGGATCTAGCAGACTCTATAGTAACCTTATATTCAGATAAGTAATCTCTCCAAGCCTGATAATGTACATTTAGGCCAGAAAGACGTCACCTACGCTCAGGTTTGCAAGAGGCTGCCTTCATGGGTCGCTTAGGGTCATTGTACCAGGGGGCAGGGCGAGAGAAGGAGATGGTTCGAGTTTTTAAAGGAGCAATGGTGTCGAGGGTAGATAAAAGAGCACTGTCAAGTAACTGTATTTTGTCTTCTAGAGGGTCAGAGGAAGAGAAACAAGATAAGGAGGACAGAACAGAATTTGCAAACCTTGGGTGATCAATTGATCGCCAGTTGTGGAAATTTACAGAGCGTGGGGGGGAAGTGTTAGAAACAGGTAATTCCAGATTGAAAAGAATGGCTAAGTGGTCAGAGAGGCCTAGATCAAGGGGAGAGCAGTGGGAGACAAAAGAGTCATTTACAATAATTAAATCTAAGGTGTGTCCTTTGTTATGTGTAGGGGTACAAACTGAGTAAGATCAAAGCATCCCAATAGAGAAAGGAAGTCTTTGGCCACACTGGAAGTTCCCTAGAATAAGGATACTTTTAAACTTAAGGCATTAAAATGAGAGAAAATGAGCAAACTCACCTAAGAAGGCTTCACTGGGTTTGGGTGGTCTATAAACTATGGCAGTAATAGTAGATTGGGGGATAGAAACATTTAAAACAAGACACTCAAAAAAAGAGGAATGAGGTATAGTAACGAGACTTAGACTTTAAAAAAGTTTGTAAATAACAATGATGCCCCCTCCTCCACCTGAAAGATGCGGAAGGTCAAACAAACTATACCCAGGAGGAACTAGTTGGTTGAACAGGAGTCCATCGTTTTGCTTGTGCCAGGTTTTGGTTAAGCACAGAAGGTCCAGTTTTTTTCGTTGATGATGTCACATAAAAGAGCCTTGTTGTTTATTGAGCGGGTATTGTGTAGCGGTGATCTGGCCAGTCTCGGGGATGCAGGGGGAAGTGGAGTGCGTTCCAGGTGCAGTAGTGAGAGGAGATTTTTGAGGTCGGCGCTGGTTCGGGATGGACTTACAGTCGTGCGCTGAAAGGCAGGGATAGAGACTCCACTGGCAGACGAATGAAAGAAATGGCATCCTGTGCTGCGATGGATGTAGCAACTTGGTCGTAAAATCCCAATAAAATGGCAATAATTTAATG